CGAACTCGTGATGGTTTTGAATCTTTTTCCTAAACCTTCCAAAGTTCAGTACTGTGGACAGAACTATTGATAGTTCTGTACTTTCATACAGAACTTGAAAAGGTTGTGCATGAGCTACAGAACCATAAATAGGTTCTGCAGTACTCCTTTTTTTCTATTAGAGTAATGAACGTCCAATTGACATTGCTTCGTGAATTATCTTTTGAAAACCAGGACCATTAGCAAGTGCAAACGGACGACTATCAAGAATACAACATTCTGCAATCGCTTTTTTCAACTTATGTTTTGCTAAACGAGTAGTACGTGATTTATTATGTACATTAACTGTGAAGAATGTAGATATTGGTTGAGTAGATGATGGAACAGCAGAATGAGATTTACATTCAATCGTGTGCTTTTTCATTACGTTTGTACCATCAACAGCTCCCCACTTTAGCAAAGTTTGACAATTATCATAGACAATGTAATTTTGTTTAATACCATTTACTATTATGTGTCGAAATCCACTCCAATGTTCACTTTTGTTTTCTTTTTCTTGAGCTGTTGTTGTCTCTTTCAAGTGGATTATAGTAGGATACAGATGGATCAGTTTTTTTGATCAAGTCTGATAAATCTTTGGCAGACAGCATGTGAATACCAGAGCCTAAAAAGAAATCGTTCAAAAACTTGATACGAGATTTACTGAAATAAGAAAAGTGTTCAAGGATATTAAAAATTGAACTGTGAATTTAAAGGTCAAGATTTGTAGAAAACGATTGAGTAACAATCACTTCAATATTTGCTGACAAGATTTCGATAATAAAATTGGTTCATATATTTTCATCAACAACAAAGTGAATGAATGCAAGCATATAACGTAGACAAAGTACCAGTAAAACAAAAGCAGTAATGAACCTCCAGGCGGAGGGCATTAGAGGTCATTTGGGTCATGCAAGATGTCTCAAGCTTATTGACATTGCTAGTAAGTCATATCATATTTTGCGTTAGTATTCGTATTATTAAGTGTGAAATCAAGAGTAAAAATATTTTTCGGAAGTGAACAGAAGCTAGATTGTTTTTTTGACAGAGGTTAGAACCACAAATTTTTTTCTGACTAGTATCGGGACTGGAACCAATTGCTTTTTTTTCAGACCGGGACTAGAACCGGGACTAAGGTTAGGGCCAAATGTTTTTTGATCAGGACCAGGGCCGGGACCGGGACCAATTTTCTTCTGCAGGCCGGAACCGGGACCACTTTTTTTTTCAAGTCGGGATCGGGATCAAAAATGACTGCTCGCGCTCATCTCTACCGCACGCCCACCCACAGTTACACTCTAAAAAATTAGTTAGTTTCGGAAACTTACGAAAAAAGGTCTTCGAGAGTTCAAAAACTCATTTCTTACCCTTCGATACAGTTTCAAGGGTTTCCGAAGGCTTAGAAATCCATGTTTTGCTCTTGGAAACCGAAAAAATTTTCCGAAGTTCAAAAACTCGTGAAACGGTTTTCGAAGGCTCGGGAACCCTCTTCTGCTTTCGAAGTTGTTACTATCGGATACTCTTTAAGGGTTTGCGAGCCTCTGAAAACCCTTGAAAGGGTATCCGAGCGTAAGAAAAAAGATTCCGAACACTGGGAAAACTTTTTCCGTCGGTTTCCTGAAATACCTAAATATTTTAGAGTGCAAATACACCCACATCCCACACCCACACCGGCACCCAC